TGACATGTGAAATGAAGGCTCGAATTATGTGTCAGGCTGACAGTTCAATTGTCAACACCACTGTTCCGAATCACGGAAGAGCTGGTGATGATACATTTTTCGTCACCCGTACTATGATCGGCCTTTGGCATCACAGACCGAAAATGCTAACCACTGTGACATCGAGTGATTTCCGTGCGTCGGAAGGCTGCATTTGCAACGCAAAAGTCATAGTTCTTATTACTAGATCACAAAAAAAAAATCTGTTACCATCGATTTGTGAGGAAGACATTGCACTAATAATATTGGTCTTCAGCTAAATATGTAGTACAATGGCAAAATATAAGAAGTTGAGATTCTATTGAGATGCGATTGTAACGTAAACATAAGCAGAATTGAGGCCCTTCCCAAGTAACATTAGGTGCTAACATAAGAGTTAGAACAGATCTACAAAAGAGTTAAACAGATCCTGTGGTGTTCAATAAGTGCTATCACATGGAGTTATAGGGAGCTATAACTCTACTGTACCCATGGATTGGGCACAAATTCTTATGACCTTAGGTTCCACTATGCCGATATAGTAGAGTTACAGAATGCATTTAAGAGATATAGTATAGTTATTGTGGAGGTACATAATCGCTAACTGAGTCCTAATGCGTTGTAAAAGAAGTGTGTAAGTGTCTAGTGACTCTTAAAGCGTTATAATAGAGCTACAGGCTACCTTCAGACCTATGAGTGCTACAAAGGAAACAAATGTATGAATATTAACTCCGTAAGGTTTATAGTAGATCTAAGATGCATCTCACTAACTCTTTAAGCGGTTATAGGGTGGCAATAAGGTAAATTGTAACACCTTGAGTTGCAGTACAGATCTACAATAGGAAATTTTAACGTTTAAAGACATAGTTTTTTTACTTTTTTTTTCTAGACTGCTTAACATTACATTTTGCTTTAACGTTAAATTGTTACTATACCTAATCTCCACACTAATGGTCTTTACGAAAAAAATGGCCGAGTTAAATGGTGAAATCTTAACTTGTTAATGGAAAACTGAAGCGGAATTTTCATTGCGAAAGTAACTTTAATGTGAATGTGGCTATATATTATGTATAAGCAAATAATGAAGGAGCCCACTCTTAGTTATGTATTTATGTAAAAAAAAATCACTTCAAGTAAAGCAAAACATTTTTTTTAATAGAAATGTTTTAAAACTATGCCTATTGATTTAAAAATGTCATCAACCTGTTATCAAAACGCTAGAAAGAGGAATAATTTCATAGTCATAAGTTTTTCAACTTTTAAAGTACTTTTTAGTCGAGCCAGGTTGCGACACCATTTTATCGATTCACATCAGCGAACACGTGACCCAACAGAGTTATTAAAGTGGTAATAAACTAAAAAATGCAACTTAAGGTAATATAGAAACTATAGTTGACACTATGGGATCTAGTAATAGGGAGAAATACCTCTAATATAGATCCCTAAGTTATACACAAGAGCTATGTATCCCATTAGGAGTTTGGTTTTATAAAGGAGTTAAGAAACACATTTATAGAGCTAGTAGCGTTAACTGTTCCCTTTGCGCAACTATCAGCGTTATAAGTGAGTTTATAATAGCTGGCGTAGAATTTGAGTAGAATAGTAAATGATAATTTCTTATATAGATTTTATAGTGGTAAGAATCGCTAAAAACTATATATAACACAAAAGCTTTGGTCTATACTGTAGGGATGATAATCGCTGCTGTACGCCTATAGCCTCCATACATTGCTCTTGTAGACTTGCTGGGTCACTATTTTATTACTTAGTCTCTTTTGTCACCACAACCTATAATTACAGCTACTAATCAACCTTTATAGCACTTTAGGTTCTAAAGCAAGCTCTATTTGCAGCTGTAATGTTAGTTGGGTTACTATTTTAATAATGACAGAATAATAATAAGTCTTGTAGTTTTTGATTTTATCTTTTAAACGAAAAATCGTTCCTTTGTAAAATATTAATTTAGACTAATTCAATAAAGAGGAAAGATTTGATTGTTTATTTGTATTGAATAGACTCTAAACTTACACATACGGAAAGTTATATCATATGCGAGCAAAAATATAATGTATCCTTACCACAATTATATTATAGGTACTCTGCATTGACTATTTTGATATTCAAATAATGAAATGTCATAGGTGCAAGTTAAATCTATACTAATATTATAAAGAGGAAAAGTTTATTTGTTTGTTTGTTTACATGTAACAGGCTCCGAAACTACTGGACTAATTTTAAAAATTCTTTCACCTGTGGGAAGCTACATCATATGCGGTGAACATAGGCTATATTTAAAACATCACCATAGTTACTATTGTTTACTATTCCATTTGTCATTATAATTATATACATGTCATGATATAATTATAATGACAAATTAACAGTTCTCTGGTACCACGCGGACGAATCCACTGGCGGAAAGGTAGTGTATAAATAAAATTATAGTAAGTACCTATGTAAATAAAAACTCAAAACAATAAAACCGACAGTTGTGACCCAAATTAGAAATAGACACGAAGGGCTGATGTAAGTTCCACTTCCGTGTCTGGGGGACTATTTTTGAAGTCCGTTTGAACTAATTTTCGATTACAGACGAAACGCAAGAATCGCCCTCCATCGTTTTATGCTTTGTTTTTTAATATTCCGTACCCAAAAGGTAAAACGAGAACCCTATTACTAAGACTTCGCTGTCTGTCTGTCACTGGGATATAATCTCATGAACCGTAAAAGATAGACATTCGAAATTTTTACAGTTGATGTATTTCTTTTGCCGCTTCAACAACAACTTTAAACCAGAATAAAATTAACATTAAAGGGGATTCCCATACAACAAACGTGATTTTGATTTTTTGCTTGTTTTTGCTCGATATCGATAACGTATTTATAGCAATTTATAAAATAAATAATTAAATTATAACTAAACAAATATTTTATGGGGCTCCCATATAACAAACATGATTTTTTGCTCACCTCCAGTACGGAACCCTTCCTGCGTGGGACCGACTCTTATTTGGTCGGTTTTCTAAATAAGCTATGTAGACGGCTTACTAAGAAAATTCTGTCACTTTAAAATCACTCAAAGAAGTAAATATGTAAGTATTTTTCATTGAAGTTCAAAGGAAAGAGATCAATTTGATTAGTAATTATTTATTATTGGCATTGCATAAGTCCTAGAACGTTTTGTCTACAACCAAAAGTCACTTTTATCGGGTAAGCCCAAGTGAACTCATATCTCACTCTCAACCGAGAAAAGTGACATTTGATGTCGACAAAGCAATTCTCGAGTTTGTCATGCTACGCGTACTGGGCCAGTTCTATAATTTTTTAGATTTTTTATGATAAATATCATATATGCTTTTTTGTATTTCAATCTATGTGAATCGAATTCCGTTAATTTGCATCCGTAACCAAGTGGATCGCAAGGCTCGATTCCCGATCAATTTAATGTGGAAAATTAAATTTTCTTTATTGTGTCGGGTCTGGGAGTTATGTTGCCTTCATTATTTTAGACTTCATAATACTAGTGCTTTAACTACTTAATCCGTTGTGTAGTTGAAAAGACTCAGCGTCCAGACCAAGGGAAGCGACATTGTTTTATACAATGTATAGATGTATGTTTACTTTTTTTTACGCCTAGCTTTTCTTTATACATACATGTATTACCCCCGGAGGAAATATTCTGGGGTAGTCAATTTAATTTTATATCACGCACAGTGACCCAATTTCATAAAGACACGAAGGGCTGTCGATTCTATTTCCTTATTATCGATCAAACAGAGACTTAAACTTGTACCCATGTAGTTACTTGTAATAACTGTCGTGTGGTTGTTCCCATTGTAACTAGAGATAAGTATAATTGACCTTTATTTACTTTTTTATTTAATATAAATTGCCGAAGTGGAAGGATACAGAAGCCGACATTATATTAATGTAGAGGCAGAGTCAGGGTTTTGATGTTTCTTCTAGGAAACAGAATAGGCCCTCAAGTGCGACTTGTTAATTCGTGCGAGTAGAATTGTACTAGTTCCATACATTTGCTTGATATGCGGGAATGGGTTAGTTCAATCGCTTCCATACTAAATGTAGTTCCCACGGCAACCGCCCATTTAACTACTAATATATATTTTTTAACACATACACGAATGTTTTGTGACATAATATTTTACATCAGTAATACATAATCAACACGACAGGATCGCTACCAGTTGGGAGTGTTACAACTATAATATCATCGTCTCCGTAAATTGGCTAAAAATAGGTTCGGGAAAAACGCAATCATGCGCAAGAGAACCAGATAAATTTAATAGATGCAAGAAAAAAATATAGCTATATATTGAAATTAAACTATGACATGTTTATAGGCATTAAGTTGTGTGTAATTTTTATTTTTGTTACATTTCTCATTCAAAGTCTAAAATTGATAGTTTATCTTAGAAAAAAACATACTTGAAGTCTAATGGACATACCCACCCATCCAAAACAGTTGAGGTGATCAAGTAGATATTTTTTTTCTTAAGACCCACAAGTTAATATACTAAATAAATTCATTCATAATTAAATGCAAATATGAAAAGTTAATTTTATTATAATATTTACATATTGAGAGGGAGAATTTGATAGGTTTATATGATTTGATAAATCTACATTTTTTCTGACTCAGCATTTAAGTGTCCTACTCATTCAACAAAGAGCTTAATCTTATTTTTTTTAAACTCGTCTTCTTAGGTAATTAAACCTGTAAGGAAAGAACATATTTTCTTGAAAAAAATATGGCTTCATATACCTACCTTTTGTATTACAATCTATGCGGTAGTAGGATCATTAAAAACCAACTTTAACATACCTATCAATTGTATGATTAAAAAATAACAATAACATAGGAATAATAAATGGAACTCTATTCAATGGAACCCTTTTTATAAGCTCATTGAAAACACAATACTAACCGTAAAATATCCCTGTTAAGTCCTCGCGACAAAAAAATGCAAAGCATACCCATGTATGGTCGCAGGATCTCTCCATATCTGTACAAATTGATAAAACAACTCTCGTTTCGATGTGAAGTTGGCAACGGGCCAAGATGGTGGACCAATCATGGCGCGAAAAGCAAAGAGCGCGCGGAGGCGAGGCGCTCCTCAAAAATCCCCACTGAGCTCGTTCGCCGTTCATATCTACGAGCAGTGCGACAAGAGAGACGCGTAGTGTTAAGTAATTTAATTTATTCATTTTTTAAAAAACAAATAATGAGGGAAATCGTGCACATTCAGGCCGGCCAGTGCGGCAACCAGATCGGAGCTAAGGTATATTATAATTTGTTTGTTACTTACTAATTTTAAGTTACTTTCGTTTGTACCGTGACGGCTTAACGGTATTAACGGTTCATATTATCACTACGGAATCCAATGGATATTGTACTTAGGACAGATTAACGTAATACACGTACTTTTTGTAATTTTATTATGATTTTAGTTAAATTATTCTTAACAGTTTTGCATAGCTCTATTCATTAAAGGAATAGAAAAACCTAATTTGAATTTTTCACGCACAGGGTTGTCACACCCCTAAAAACGTTACGGCTCATTAGATTAATGTTGTTTTTAAACAGTTTAAACATCAAAAAGCCTCTAATGGACGAAGGACATTAAAATGAACCGAATCATAAATTCATTCGAACTTGTTTTTTCCAACTACATATGTTAATTAAGTCCGAAGTAACAACACTATTAAAAGAGAACTGGATCCGATCTCGAATTCATGTTCATTTCTGTCATTTTACTCATAATAAAGATAAAATTATTCGTAACAATAACATATCGTCCTCCATTATATTTATCAAGGTGTTATTGATCAATCGTCGAAATTAGACAGTGACTCATTCAACATTGAATTTCTTGTCGCTTCTGAGTACCTAAATTAATTTTAATTAACTCACATTATTATTGGTCGCTGATGTCAGAATATTTTTTAGATAAAAGATAAAAGGTCTTTAGATAGAAGAATATTCCTAAAGTAATTTACACAGATCACTACTAACTCTAATAAAACATATACATTTTTTCTTTTACTTTCAGAAAAATATATTCAGTTTGAAATCTATAACATTCTCAGCTTTCCTATCAAATCTGCCGGTGAAACCTTCATATAACGCTAGTGGTGCATAAAGTACATGCAATTTGCTTGCATCGACTCGGAAACTGATTCTTAACTACTTTCATCGCACTTTCCATGTTATATGACATTATAATGACTACAATTTAATTAGTTGCATTGGAAATCAAAAGAGAAATCATGAGAAAATGTTATAAACTATTGTATTGTCTTATACCTAGTAGAAATAAGAGACGATTGTTTAAAATGAAGGCCAGGCCAATAGAGCCATAAGTATTTTATACCGTAACATTAATCACTTCAATTGCACGGAACTAAAAATCCGGGCCGTTATAAGACATGATGGATGAAATGAGTACGCATTGATTTGTTACTTCATAAATTGTAGTTTCTTTACTTTCATTTATATAATTATATTTGCGTACATACAAATCATTCGTTAGTCAGAATGAGTCACTTATAATTCGCTGGAATCCATCTGAGGAAAGGAGTATGCAGTCAACTATAAATAAATACTCATTCGACGAACTCAAACAAGCTGAGTAAATACTTCTTTTTCTTAATTAAATTTATGTTATTAGGTTCAGGGATTTCAAACTAACAGCAACATGTTATAAGTTTAGTGTGTTCCTATTTTATTCTGCCTGCAGACATGGCGCGTTACGGACAATTTCACCTTATGATTGCAAAACAAAACAATGGATGAAAACGATGACCTCAGCCTTTTTTCATAGTCTAATGATTTCGATAAATATAATGAATGATTCACGTCCAAAGACAGACGCGTGAATATTAGATCGGACATTATCTAACTATAATTGTCTGTTTTACCTTTTTTTTGGTGTATTTTAGCTGTTTAATGTTATATTCTCGTATTACTTATTGTTTGTCTTATCATGGTCTCCGCTATGGCATTTGAAGTTAAAGGCCGATAGATTACCGAGGGCACTGAACCGACGGTCGACGTCCGACTCACTTTAAAAATAACTACTATCGCATATCCATACTAAAAAGCACTCTCTTTTCAAAGAGCAATATTTAAGCGCTTCAACAGTAAAACATTCCACACTATGATTTTACTTGTGTTTCCACTCAGCTTTAGGTGCAGGTGGCACACAAAAGTCTATTGTAACTATACATAGTGTAGTTTCCCTTACAAGTAGGTAGTAAGTACGTTAAGAAGTTCGCACACTTTCATCGTCCATGTCTTATCTAGTTACGAGCAGAAAGCAACCTTTCGCGGTACAATCGAAGAACGGCCGATCGCCTTTCACTTTTTGTTGTTATTAAAAATCATTATATTTTGTCCATCTGTATTCGAAAGTAGATGGATTCTGATGGACCACCATTCGTTTTGATAGATTTATGTGCATGCAATCGCCTAGGCCACGTAATCTTTTGCTAAAGCAGTATTCATTAGCTCATATTGATGTTTATTCTTCGAATCTCAGAGCCGAGAATCATTGGTGAATCGCCGTATTAGTCATTTTGCCTTATAAGTCTCTGTCAGGCGAGGCACGTACACTTTACCCACACATATACGCCTACAGTATGACATCATACCGATTGGCGACGCTTGCGTGTGTACCTACCAGCTGAATTTTAATAAACTACAAACAGTCACTAGGCTGTTAATGTATACATAGAAGGCTTTGTTATTGTCAAGGATTACATTATTCTGCAATTCAAAATATACTTTTTATCAAACTGAATATCTTAATTATAGTTTTGTTCTCTTAAATAGAAAGCGCGCTATAATAAGTTTTCGAAAGTTTCACATTACGAAAGATGCAACCATATGGTCAAAACGCCTGAAAATCAGGCTATGAATATTAACGGGCGCCGAGAAATTGGATACTAATAAATTTTAAGCGACTCGTACAAGACAGTCTCTACTTATTTGGAGAGATAAGCCAAATAGGGACAGAGCGTGGGCGTCGACCGTCGCCAAGGCGAGTGCATTGTACACGCCTGCCATAACTCATGCCATTGTCTTGCGTAATCCTCCAAAGCAAAAGTATTTATTAAAGATGTATTGTGTATCCTGTCTTACATTTACGCGATGGATCATTGAGCTTGTATTCAAAGTTACGACTACCAGACCTTCAATGCTGTAGCGATCTATAGTATATCTAATGCTTGTATAATGGACTTAGTATAGAGCCAACGACGCACTGGAATTCTCGACGCACTTAAGACTGAATGCATAGAACCGGTTTGAAAGTAGCAATACGAGCCGCACTTACAAATGATTCTTAGGAGTGTAGCTTTCGTGTTGGAATTTTAATCGATGGATGTTAAAGCTCGCGCTCACAACAGTATCTTTAACAATTTTTTTTTACAGTTCTGGGAAATCATCTCTGACGAGCACGGCATCGACCCTACCGGCGCCTATCACGGTGACTCTGACTTACAGTTAGAGCGTATCAACGTTTACTACAATGAAGCATCAGGCGGAAAATATGTGCCTCGCGCCATCCTCGTCGATCTCGAGCCCGGTACCATGGACTCTGTCCGTTCCGGACCATTCGGACAGATCTTCCGCCCTGACAACTTCGTTTTTGGACAGTCCGGTGCCGGTAATAACTGGGCCAAGGGACACTACACAGAAGGTGCTGAGCTCGTCGACTCAGTACTTGACGTAGTACGCAAAGAATCAGAGTCATGCGACTGTCTACAAGGATTCCAACTCACACACTCCCTTGGCGGCGGTACCGGATCCGGAATGGGAACTCTACTCATCTCAAAGATCCGTGAAGAATACCCAGATAGAATTATGAACACATACTCAGTCGTCCCCTCGCCCAAAGTATCAGACACTGTCGTCGAACCCTATAATGCTACTCTCTCAGTTCACCAGCTTGTAGAAAACACAGACGAAACTTACTGTATCGACAACGAGGCTTTGTATGACATCTGCTTCCGTACTCTCAAGTTATCCACACCCACCTATGGCGATCTTAACCACTTAGTCTCCCTCACAATGTCAGGTGTCACCACATGCCTCAGGTTCCCCGGTCAGTTGAATGCTGATCTCCGTAAATTAGCTGTCAACATGGTTCCTTTCCCACGTCTTCACTTCTTCATGCCTGGTTTCGCTCCTCTTACATCACGTGGTAGCAGACAATACCGTGCCCTCACCGTCCCAGAGCTCACACAACAGATGTTCGACGCCAAGAACATGATGGCTGCCTGCGACCCGCGCCACGGCCGCTACCTCACCGTCGCCGCCATCTTCCGAGGCCGCATGTCCATGAAGGAAGTCGACGAACAGATGCTCAACATCCAGAACAAGAACTCGTCCTACTTCGTGGAATGGATCCCGAACAACGTTAAGACCGCCGTGTGCGACATCCCACCACGAGGCCTCAAGATGGCCGCCACCTTCATCGGCAACTCGACCGCCATCCAGGAACTGTTCAAGCGCATCTCTGAACAGTTCACGGCTATGTTCAGGCGGAAGGCTTTCTTGCATTGGTACACCGGCGAAGGTATGGACGAGATGGAGTTCACAGAGGCGGAGAGCAACATGAACGATCTCGTGTCTGAGTACCAGCAGTACCAGGAGGCTACAGCCGACGAGGACGCTGAGTTCGACGAGGAACAGGAGCAGGAGATGGAAGACCACCACTAAACGCTAACGACGAAAAGCTCGTCGCTATAAAAGTACATGCCATTTATATCCTGTTACTTTTTATTTGAGTAACATTAATGATTCCTATAAATACTGAGTATTGAATATACATGCTTTCTAACTTTTAACAGAAACGCACGACTAAAAATTTTCCAGTCATGACACCCCTGTATGTAAATCGAAAGCATTTGTATTGCCTAATACATTCCTTGATTCAACCGAACCTCGTTGAAAGAAAGATCTGAAATTAATAAAGGCTGATCTATCATATAGACGTCTCTTTATTTGTTATACAGTTTGGGATCACAAATTGCCAAACGTGATTAATTATGAGGGCTTCAATAACAGAAGTTTTATTAAAAAATTGTTTTGAACAATAATTTAATGTATATAATAAAGATTTTTATTTATTTACATTTTATTTTAATTCTGTACTTTGCCCTACCTATAGGAAATAATAATAATAATTTTTGAAAACAATTTTTAGGTATGTTATGTACGTTCAAAAACGTATTAAGTTACTATAAAATATCAAAAGATAAAATATTGAAATATTAAATCAATTGGATGAATTTCACCGTTTTGCTTAACCTGATAAGTGTTCATAAATTAGTAACTTGTCAATAAGTAAAGTTTCAACTTTAAAAAAATATATAAACAGAGCGATTTCCAAGTAAACAATTAAATATGTCAAGGATAGGAGGAAAAAGTAACAAATGTTATATGAATAATTACTTAATTTACTTATTACGTCATGGCCTTAAAGTAAAAAAAATACCGGCCAATTCACAGTTTACACCTTGAAACCTTGGACGTAAGACCTACTTCACAACGTACCTGACATCATCTTGTTACTATATATAGAAATGCAAGTAAAATAACCACACAACGAAGATCTCTATCAACACCAGATATTGCTTCCATCCGTTAAATTTTTCTATTAACACGGTTGTCAAGTGGTTCTCAGTATAATGGTTCGACTGATAGATGATAACACTCTGATGTCAGACGACGAATGCATTACAAACAAACAGGCGTTATGTCATGTCAGTTTGAGTAAACAGGTTAAATATTTAGATCACGCTGTATTTCATTTGTCTGCTAAAATGACTGATATACCGTGCACATTTAATTAGGTCATCGCTTATTATTATACCTATTATACCACTACTCAAAAGTGTAGATGTTTTCTCAATTATATAATTTCTGTACAATTTTAACATATTAATTATAGATATGACATATTACAACAAGAGAGAGATGTGACAAAACGAATTATTTTTATGAATGAATGAGTGATCTATTTATTGTACTTGAAAGAAAAATCAACATAACAATTAATAACAATAAGCAGTACCTACAATCGGCGGCCTCATCGCTAAAAAGCAATATATTCCAGGCAATGGAAAGTTAGACTGGACAGTTACATAAAGAAGCTGGGTAGAAAATGGTGAGAATCACAATTTTTTGAAACAATTAACTTTTGTGAAGATGAAATACTGTTCGTCTGCTCCCTATCCCATAAAAAAAACACAGATATTCATTTACTTCCAATCTATATTATTATAATAAAGAGGTAAAGTTTCTTTATTAGTTTGTTTGTAAGGCGTAATCTTCAGAAATAAAATCTGATCATGAAAATTCTTTTAAATACGGAAATTTATCATGCGCGAGTAAAATAACTATAGTCCAATTTAAAAATTAAAATAATCAAAACTGCGCGATTGGAATTTCAATTAATACATAATACGTGTTATAGAAGGGTGATGTAAAAGTCATAAAACCCGGCGATCATGTATGACAAGATTTATGAATGTCAAGGAAGCGGAAGATATGGATAAAAAGTGAGCTTAGTGACGGTTAGGCGTATCTCTATTTAGGATTGATCCGGGATGAAGGAATGGAATGATATCATCGACAGTCCTTGTTATTTTGATTAATTTTGCATTCACAATGCCATGCTATACAAATTATTTTTAATACAAAATGCTTAAAAGTGGCCCGGATTGCGAAAGGTCGATTCCCATCTCAGGGTATACCGGGACCAGGTGGATTTTTTAAGCATTTTGTATTATGAATAGTCCTTGTTGTTTTCATAATTGCAGGCATCTATACCTATATCATATTCTGTGAACAGTTGAGAAATAGACAGTGTGAGTCTGCCCAATATGTCCCGAACTCGTTTCAATATTTACAATCGTATCCATTTTCTAATGATCAATGGGTGGTTTCTGAATTAAGAAAAGTACAAAATCGTATCTGGTATTCTCATTAACTTATGTTTTACAAGGCAAAAGGCCTAGTTTTACGAAACTGCTATCACCTGATAATTAAAGAAACTAAAATCAGAAACGAGAAATGTTTAAGTGACGTTTCAGACGTTCAGAAGCCTGGTGTAACTTTGAGAGAAAATGAAAATAGAATGCATAATAAAATCGAATGCTACTTAGAATAAGTATATCTGACAAAACGAATATAAACATCCAGACACGAGACTATATAGAAACATTCATTTTCCACAAGAAGCCGACATCTACGAAGGTAATAGAAAATGAAGGTGAAATATGATATTAGAAATGTTGAAAGAATTTTGCTACAGTTGTGTTCCGTGCTCAATTAATTCTCCACAACTAAAAGAAATCCTGGTAGTAGGGAAAAAATACTTTTGAAGGGTATTAGGTAATTTGATTTTATATAATGTTGAATTTAAGAACAACAGGGACAGGTTTATAATCGAATGTCTCATTCAATTCCTACACACCTTGAATCATCAGCTGTCCATCATATGCCATATTGTATTGGACCTTGTCAATATGTACCTACCTACGCTTAGCACCATGTCTCATTTACATAAAACTGACTAACTAAAGATCGATAAAGATAGTTGTCAGACGATTGGTACGATAAGGTTGAGAGTTACGAGAAACATTTAAGAGAAAGGCAAGGAACTGTCTTATGGCTGGTTTACACTAGCTAAGTAGATAAGAAGTCAACTAAATTGTTAACTTAATTTTAGGTGATTTTGTGTGTTTAGACATATTTAATCACTCAAAATTAACGTAATACGTACGTGTTAACTAGCATTTATAATACAATTATAAATAAATATATAAATAAAGGTAAATTGGAGTGCTGTAATACGTCACAAGAAAAATAATATTAGTTATTTCCAGTTGGTAGTAGGTGGTTACTTTCCCAAGGATCGGTCATAGGACGGGTAACCAAAAATTTAATATCTCAATCTCCTCCAAACTTAGAAACGCAAGTTAAGCCGTCGGTACCGGCTAAGATTGCATCTGCAGTCGTTAACACCCACCAATCCGCATTGGGCTCGCATGGTAGGCCATTTTCAATTCTCCTGTGCACCACCAGTGCAAACATTTGATAGGCTGGTGTCGAAAACATCAATTTTAAGTTTATTTAATGTAAATATAATTCATATGTGGTTGTAACATTTGAATATTGCAAAACGCCTACATTACAACTGCAAACTCAGACCATTTTGGGCACCGAACTCGACGTGAAAGTGTGTGAGTCAACGTTACAAAATAAGTAGGTATAGGTATACTACAAGATGTTCAGTATTTACGGCAGTATTTATAAATCTAAAAAATCCTTATCACACAGTAGCCACCTCTGAGGTCCTGAGTGCTATATTTTCAGGGCTAATGCAGAAAACGAACTGTTTTTATTCATCTCGGATCTGAGTATAGATTATTTATATTGTTTTAGATTTCAATAATACCCGTACAATAAAGTAATGTGATGCTGTCTAATATACGCCATAAACTCAATAGTACTGAATAGGTTGATTTTCATGAAGCTTTCACTAATGGACAGAGCATTTTATGAAGGATGTTTTGGTGTATAATTAAGGTACTGGCTTCCCGCTAGTGGTAGTGGTACTAGTAGTTTCCGCGTGGTCTACATATTAGTACCTTCTTTTTGAATCACTGCTGTAAGTTTATTAACGAAGTTCGCATCAAAATTATTATAATGTATAGTTTAAAATAATATCGATTTGGTCCTATTTAGAATTAGGTAGATTGGTTAATAGTTTCTGTTTAAAAAACAACATTCAACCAATTACACAAACTTCAACCAATCGCAGACGATCTTTAGTATAAACTTCATGTCATTCTATAATTGCTATGCCAACCCTCCCCTTGATGTCTTTTCTCTTGGGATGTTTGGTATGGTGTTCCCGTTATGTGTACTCAGACGTAGGATAGTAATTTAATGTTTTGTTAAAACTATGATTTTGTCCAGTTCGCAGTTTCCTCAAGCAATCCTTAAAGATGCACTTTGAGAGAGCACTCTTTTTTGAGAAAAAAAAGATCGAGTTAACCAACTGTCAATTTATAGAACCAGAGAATATCGGATATCGGCAATAGAAGTCTTTAGATATCGGTCAAAAATAAAGAAAAAGATTGCACACAGGAACAATTACCTTTATTTTTATTTTGCTATTTCTCCATGCATAGAAACTCATGCATGAAGCAAGCAGACGTACGTATTTTTTTAACGTAGGTCCTATTTAATGACCTAAAACAAAAAAAAACTATGGAAATAGGAGTAAACTCCGGTGTATACAGTTGAGTTATAGTAGGTGGAAAAATTATTACTGCTGACTGGATGGAACTACAGGTTATAAAAATCAGGACATAATTTATTTACACTGAAACGTCCAAAAAATTAATTTGTTCTTTAAACAGAAACTAGAAACCAATCTACCTAATTCTAAATAGGCTTACTTGGTACTACGACTACGATAAAATAACAGAAAGAAAACCCATTTCTATTATATGTACCTATATTACTATAAAATATGAAGATAGTGATTCAATTGATTATTCGTCGTTATAATTTTTTTTCCGGGCTGCTGGGGCCGACCGGTGCGGTTTCTCATTGCAACAGCAGCCGGCACATGCTACCAACATTACAATAGTAACAACTGTGTCGTTCTCTCAAAATAAAACTACTATTACGAAATAAATGTTGATACTTAATTATAATTAATAGAAGATAATACATAATATTTATGATCAAACAAGAAATTAGATCCTATCAGTCGTTTTTTGTGATAAAGAAAACAAAACCAGATCAATAGAAAGTCGGGTATGTTGGCACCACTGGGATGCTCTGTGTGACAAATATGGCGTCGTTGGCCAATGGGCTACGTTGAGTAATTTTAGGGTGGTGACAGTATCGATTTATTTTTTTAACATAAGTAAAATAACATTATTAATTTAGTGTAACTTATACACCATTAATTATACAGTAGAAAAAAGGGGGTCATAGAAGCAGCAGTGTACAACATTTTATTTTCAAGATAAATTTTAAAAATATATATTATAGTTTGTTGAAACTTTGAACGTAAGGTAGTTTGAAAGAGTTGAGCAATTTTCCATTTTTTTCGATATGCCAGCATTTTCTAAATTTATCTTTTACTCCCAAGCCAACATGGAACTAAAACTATCCATCTGTTAATTTGATTATAATAAGAATAGAATTTAGTTATATCTATGCCCAGTAAAGAAAGGTAAACATAATAAAACTTTTATTATTACTTTTATAACATTTATTCAGACATTAGACTATTGTTGAAGACATTGGAAAAACTTCTTGAAATGTCAAAGGTTAAGATGTAGGTATGAGGGCTTAGAGCGTAATTGTTGAAGGCCACGCGGGCCTGCACCGGCTTCGTCCATGTTTAACAAAACTTATCTACAAAAATAAAACAATAATAACTTAATCACGGAAAACGGCAAAACAACAAGAAAGGCATTAGCATTCACAATGGATGACAATCCCAGATTACTTATTTTGATAATTATGAATACATCATAGTCTGACAAAATTAAAAAGCTGTACTGCAGAAACGTTTGAAGGAATTAGGCAACGTATTAAATTTGGTAGAATTATAGTGACATGAGAATCGTGCCGAAACTATCCAACCAAGCAGGGTTGGATAGTTTCGGCACGATTAGTTTCTTTAAGATAAACACTTTTTATTGTAATAGTTGTTAAACCATTATGTCATTAAAGTTAATCAAATACTCATAAATTTGTTTAATAGATAGCTTAAATGATAATAATTAAGTATAGCAGCTGGTATTTAAGTGAATATAAGGCAAATTAGCCGTCAGTCTTAAGAGTAACATGATTATTGATATTTTTTTACAAAGTATACCATTAAAAGAACCTTATTTAACTTCTGTCTAATGCCATAATGAATGGAGTATACTTATGGAGAATTATCCTTTTTGGTTACCAGAGGTTATAATATATGTCGCTATTTAATAGGGCTGATAGCTAAGATTTTTCTTTTACTCATCGGGTAAATTATTAAAAATGTATTTTTATATATATAGACATATTCTTTTATACATTGAGTTGAGACAGAATGTCATATGAAATCACGTCTTGAGCAGGGTTGGTCGTCCTAGGCCTAGTAACTACTGGTTACCCCCTTTTAGCGCTCATAATTAAGGCACTGTGAATAAATTTACTTTCTTGACAACATTTAGTGAAACAGATATGTCCACAATAGTATTATATTGCATGTGGCAAAATAAACATCTGAGAAATATTAACATTCATACTTGTATACTAACAGCTGTTTGATTCCCATTTTTTTATCAGCTCAAAATATCTACATTAATTTAAAAGTTTGTATTGGATAAATAAGTAAAGATAGACCAGTATCCATTATTTTATTATTCAGCTGCTCCAGCAGTAGCTTTTAACTCAATATTCTATGTTAATTAATCGCCGCCCCTAATAACTGACAGCCTTCGCCTTAGATCAGGGCCTACTGAGGCATTAGGGTAAATCTACCCCGCCACTAATAACATAGAAGATAAATATCAATATAGTATTGTAAAATTAAAATCACCCATGGTGCAGGGGATGTATCGTACTCGGGCGCCGCATGTTGGGGGGCGTCGCACAGATGATCTTCCGGAAATTCCCTATGATGAGGGGAGGGATGGGGACCTTAAGACGGGCCTGATTAAAATAGATCAATTATAATGATAGTGGATAAAATCAAACTATGTAAAATTTTTACAAATAACACAAAAAAATAATTACATATTTTAATAGTTTGAATTTGTATAGTATTCAGCTTAAATTCTACAGAATGCCATTCAAAGTTTCATATTAATGAAAAATATGGAAAACAACTATAAGTTTTAACATAATACATTATCTACAAGTTTCTAAAATGAAAAATATACATTTATATTCCACATAGTTTTCTTTAAAATGACGCAATGCGACAAATTTTATCGATAACGTATAGGTGGAACAGCCCATCACTATAAATACGCAACTTTGGTTCTTTGCACCGAACGAAGCGCGTTTATTCTTCAACCGACCACGGTAGTACGTGGTGCGTGCGGAGCAGAAATTATTTTAGTGATAAGTAATTTATTAAGTTCACATTTAACAAAATGAGGGAAATCGTGCATATTCAGGCTGGACAGTGCGGAAACCAGATCGGAGCTAAGGTAATTCGCGTTCTTTTGTTATGATTTTCAATAGAAATTCCATTTTCAAATATTCTCTTGACGGCCGGCATTTTGTGACGCCTCGGTGCTCTCACTAAAATTGCTTACGAATACGATTTTGAATCGTAATTTTCTGCATTCTCAATTTACAGAGTCGAATTGTAGGCGTATTGTGTGAGAATTTTTTTGGTTCTTGTTCGTTCTTTTAATGTCTTGCTGGGTGTGGCCACTAAATAGAATATTAGATCGATAATACAACTTAATATTATTTTCTGTGGATGTTCTTTTGTCTTGTAATAATGAATCAGTACACATTTAAAAGAAATTTTAACGTAAATTGGATTCCAACTGCCCCACCTTATATCGATCGGTGCAAAGTAGGTGCCCCAGTAGTGACATACTTCCACGTGTTTTTCGCCGTTTGCTATTCTTTTTTTATTACAAATACAAATTACATTTATGACGTTATTTGTCCGTACATAATATTTTTTTTATGTGGCTATATGATGGTTGAAACTTCTGAACGAAGAATTGATGACATACATAAAACAAAGGAAGTGCCTTCCATATTTAGCCGGTTAGCACTGCTGACTGAATTTTAAAGAATCTTGCGATTATGAGCGGCTGTATAAAACATTTTTCAATTGTCATTCTTTATGGTTAGATCATTAACCGGCGCCTTTTATTCGCGCTATTTATAAATTTCCGTTGAAAAGGGCACGTCGATGCTCGTTCAAGGTTCTTTTCGCGTCCTATGATAAGGGTCGACCAATCAACGCGCTAGATTTTATAACGTTTGAATTTCGAACCCGGTAAAAAATAACGTATTTCATTTAAGTTGTTCTTTCAATTGAATTTGTATGAACCACTAAATCCGTGTTAATATTTTGAACTCAAATATATCATCTAATATTTAAAATAAATTTCTTTTGATTATTTTATTAGGGTCAAATGTTGGATGCCTTTTAAGTTTTTTATTAACCAAAGAGATTATTTTAATAATCTGTAAGAGACAACTAATATTTTTTATTGAATTTATATGAAACACTCAGTGCTGTGAATTTTATAAGGTATATTATTTAATATTTATACTATAGAACTTCGTAAAATTTAATATAAATTCCAAATTAATTATAAATCTATCATGCTATTATTGCTATTATTTATGCAGAACTCAAAATGACAGACTACGGCAGTTATCTGGTGAAGATTTTTAATAAGTGACATTTTTTAATAAAAATAATTGAAGTTATTGATGATTACAAAAGAAGGTATTGTATTCTTGAGAACTAAGAATGATTAATAATGAAGCTATTAGCAATGTCGAACCTCAATTTATGAGCCTCTGCTCAAACTCGTTAAAGTCTCTTTCACTCATTAATCCTGTTGCCGAAATTTAACATTTTTTTTTTGTATAATCTGACGCGCCTTTGACTACTCAATCCTCGAAATATTTAATAAAATAAATAAAAGGCTCCTTACACCCGTTTTGCTCCTCCAAACAATTCCTGAATGGGAAGACAAAAAACACGACTTTGCATTGATTATCAATTCGAATAGATAGATGATTTTGAATTAAGATTTTAACTATGAACTAACAAGACGAGTAGGTATGACTGAGCTTAGATAATAATAACATAAGATACCGTTAGGTGTTATCTATGCCATAATAAATAGTGCCTAATAAAAAAACCATATATTTTTCGGCAAAAATAGTCTTTTCAGAGATGTCATAACTATATGCTCATTAATTACTAACTGCATTTCATGTGTGTAACGGCTAGCTTTCGCGATAAAATCTCCTATATTTTGTTCCCAAGGTCCACTTAATGTGTGTATAAATTTCATTAAAATTAGTTCAGTAGTTTAGTCATGAAAACGTTATAGACAGACACAGGGTTCTTTCGCATTTGTATTATTAACATGAATTAACTGCATAAACGTAGAACTTGCATAAACATTCGATTAAAAAAGTTAATTATGTTAATTAATAGGGAGGAACTGTTGAGTAACGTGGTCATTGCCCGCTCTTCCGCCTGCTAAAATAGACTCTGCCCATTCCGAAACAGTTTTACGAGGGCAAAATGGCGACCGAACGTCTGAAGTTTGATATTATGGGCATCGTTAAATGCACCCGTAACTCACCTGTTTTATGTGAACTGTGTCATTAGGAAGCTAGTCGTGTTAAAGAAAAATAAATTCATTTCGACATGTTCCTATGTTCGCATAGAAAGCAGAAACATTATTTTCCTATCCACTGTGTAAAATTGAAAACCATTAGGGGTAGAATGGGAACGAATGATTTTATAGTTTATTTGTATTAGTTTTAATAATTAATTAGTGAATCTAATATTTTTTACACAAAAAAAAACATACCGGCGTTCTAAGTAGAAAAATAATTATTACAATTGTTCATCTAAAACCACAGAATTGCCCTTTTTATTTCTGTATGAAATGTTTTTTATTACGAGTAGTATTGGCTTCTAAAAGGTCTTCTAAAGTGTCCTTTTTACACTTGCGTATAAAAAGGACAGAGATAATTTTTGCGCAAATTCCTAATTAACAGTAACATAGTCGCCGAGGACCACTGAATAATTTGGAATAAAAAGAAACTTAAAAACTGTTATGTTATAAATTTTACGACCGACTCTGTCGGCAAGTAATGGTTAATTGGTAACGTGGTTCATGAAATTATGTACCGCAATTAGAAGCCATATTGATTGATCGGTATTAATTGGATAAAAACTAAACCAATTTGTAACAGGGCTTAATTAACTACCTACTTTTTTAATAAAAGAAACTGAATAATAGTCTTGCCTATCTACGCTTTTTATACCTGATCGCGGATGTATCGTTGTCTATCTAACTTTTGTTTATCAGTGTTATCAATTCTGATAAATTTAATAAAATACACAAACAGTATTAGTAAATGAGATTGACATTATAACAAATCGAGGACACTAGGTATTATATCTGCAAGTGCAAGGACGTTAATAAGTTATTAGCTATTTTTCGTAAAAATTACCCGTTGTAGATTTTAAATTGGTTATATTTCAAAATGACTATTATATTTGAAAGACAAGAAGTAAATATATTATTCCGGGGCAAAATAAATCATTAAATACATTTTCCAAGATTGAACTTCCTTATTCTTATTAAGACAATAACCCACACCTAAGCAACATTCATTATTGGTATGTGCACCGAAGCGTTCTAAATATTTGGATACTTTAGATGTACAATTGGCAGTTTTGTGTTTTAGTAAAATTACTTTCAATAAATAACCTTCAGTACAAATTTATCATCTATTTTAACCCGCCTTAAATCCAATTTTTGGGTTAAGTGTCCTTTTCCATGATCACCTCTAGCTCAGTTGTTTAAATGTAAAAGTGCAACAAACTATTAAATAATATAAGATTGATTAAAACGAGTAAAACATCAGTTGAAAAACGTCTTATGTTGTCTAGATAGTTCATAAATTTCCAGAAATCATTGGAAACAAGGAAAAACTTTGAAATTATGAAAAAAATACAAATAAACTAAGCAGACAAAAGTCGCATTCCATATCAAAGTCGATTCATTGACATAAAACTAAATTAGAAGTTATTTCCAAATCGGACTGTCGCATGTTTTTTTTATACAATTTCTGGCAGCATTCCCGTTTTCTCCAGACAAACAGATTGAATACTGATCAACGAAAAGAGCAAGTGTTGCATTTTACACGAACTATTTAGAGATTAAGTTGATTTTCTATCCTTTTAAAAATTCATACATAACTGATTTTTCCAATGAGTACTAGTAATACAATATTACGCTTAAATCATTTGACACGTTGTGATTAAATTTTATATATAAGATATATTAACGGAAAATCAATAATATTAAAAGAAACTTACAATTAGTGTTACCACCATAATTATTTTCTTTGCCTTCTGATAATTTTAGATATTAGTGTAGAAATATTAGTGCAAGTTATTCATAATAATCGACTTAATTATTCACTTGCATGTACTTACCTATTTATTTTATTATTTTAAATTATTTTCTTCATGCAGAGTATATTTTAGTCACAATAAATCACACTAATTGCTTCCGATATACAGTTATAATTTAATAGACATGCGCTTCAATGAAGACATTTCATTCCTTTATGATGTGTCTACCAACAAGGCGCTATAATAACACATTTTGATGAAGACGATTCGTTCTATAGCGGTTTGTCCACCAAATACTATGTTACATTTCACTATTGATGCTTGCTTAATTATTATAGAAAATATCAGGCCGCGATATACGTTTTGTTTTTCCGGGGCAGAATATTCGTATGGCGCCCTTCCTCTACTCCACTCCGTGGAGCTAGCCAATGTTATGTTATATTCAAAATTTTGTTAAGCTGGTTCTTTTTAGTAACTGTAAAAAGACATTATATAATGTTAATTTTTAAGTTTTTACCTATTGATTTTTCATGTTTAGACCGTAATAAATTATATTTATATCATTTGCCTTCTTAAAATATTTATGATAAAAATTTCATTGTATTCAGGTCACATCGTAGCATGCAGGTTAAAAATTATTTCGATAATCTAGATTAGACATTCTTTTAATGCCGCATTCATAATTAAAGTGAGCTTTCTAAATTTTCTATTAGCGAGACGTGAAGCAATCGCTTTATCGCGTTATATATCATGATGAGTCAATTTTATGGTCATAGCAGTGTAAGATTAAATCTTTCTTTATGATAACATCTTTTGGTAACATTCGATTTGATTGAAGACATGATTTATTAATGTCGTACAAAGGATCATGTAGATTTTGTCCTAAAAACGTCGCTTGATTGACAACAGTTTGTCTTGATATATGGTTATAGACGGGCCGTGACTCCAAACAAGAAACTGGCTTCACGCTCTCCTCATATATGGTGCCGTTACTTACATAAAGATCCGAAAGCTGCCGGCCGTGGTACTGTTAATTTTTATTGTAATTACCTTTATTCATTGGCTTAAACTCGATCATGACTTAACCGACCGCAACTTACAACATGAGCTTAATCGATACTGTACAGTTACCCCATAATATTATGGTAATGAAGGAGATTCGTGTTGCGAACCTTGTTTCCATAGTAACAGGTGACTCATCTTGTCCTTGCAGTGTCATTACGCGATAACGTTTGCGTTTCTCACGCAAATTGAAAAAGTATTATGCGTTGATAAAACATTAATGTTCGACTATTATGTATTTCTTTTTTGTTTTTAATAAACTATGTTTACTTGTTACAGTTCTGGGAAATCATCTCCGACGAACATGGCATCGACCCCACTGGTGCTTACCACGGCGACTCTGACCTGCAGCTGGAGCGCATCAACGTATATTACAATGAGGCCTCCGGCGGAAAATACGTCCCCAGGGCTATCCTAGTCGATCTCGAGCCCGGGACCATGGACTCAGTCCGGTCAGGACCATTCGGACAGATCTTCCGTCCTGATAACTTCGTCTTCGGACAGTCTGGCGCTGGCAACAACTGGGCTAAGGGACACTACACAGAGGGTGCTGAACTCGTCGACTCAGTTTTAGATGTAGTACGAAAAGAAGCAGAGTCCTGTGATTGCCTCCAAGGTTTCCAACTCACACATTCACTCGGTGGTGGCACCGGGTCCGGTATGGGCACACTACTTATTTCTAAAATCAGAGAAGAATATCCGGATAGAATAATGAACACATATTCAGTTGTACCATCTCCCAAAGTGTCAGATACAGTAGTAGAACCTTACAATGCCACACTTTCAGTCCATCAACTCGTAGAAAACACAGACGAAACCTACTGTATCGACAACGAGGCTCTCTATGACATCTGCTTCCGCACGCTCAAACTATCCACACCCACGTACGGCGACCTCAACCATCTGGTGTCGCTCACCATGTCCGGCGTTACCACTTGCCTCAGGTTCCCTGGTCAGCTAAATGCGGATCTCCGCAAGCTGGCGGTGAACATGGTACCGTTCCCACGTCTTCATTTCTTCATGCCCGGATTCGCGCCTCTCACATCTCGCGGCAGTCAACAGTACAGAGCGCTCACCGTTCCAGAGCTCACACAACAGATGTTTGACGCCAAGAACATGATGGCTGCCTGCGACCCGCGCCACGGCCGCTACCTCACAGTCGCCGCCATCTTCCGAGGCCGCATGTCCATGAAGGAGGTTGACGAACAAATGCTTAACATCCAGAACAAGAACTCGTCCTACTTCGTGGAATGGATCCCGAACAACGTTAAGACCGCCGTGTGTGACATCCCGCCGCGAGGCCTCAAAATGGCCGCCACCTTCATCGGCAACTCAACCGCCATCCAGGAGCTGTTCAAGCGCATCTCTGAACAGTTCACGGCTATGTTCAGGCGGAAGGCTTTCTTGCATTGGTACACCGGTGAAGGTATGGACGAGATGGAGTTCACAGAGGCCGAGAGCAACATGAACGATCTCGTGTCTGAGTACCAGCAGTACCAGGAGGCTACAGCCGACGAGGACGCTGAGTTCGACGAGGAACAGGAGCAGGAGATCGAGGACAATTAAACAGCCGCATTCCCAGTCACATTCGTATCATCGTACCCTCCCAGCGTCCCCCGATATCCGCATTTTTTGCTTCGTATTTTTATATGTAACTTGAAGTTCTGGAAACAATTAACATTTTTTTTGTAGGGAGTACACGTTGATGTTACGGCAACATAAAGTTGCGTCCACATTCCGCCGTGTTTTCCTTGTCGAAGGGCGACTCTCGGGTGTGTTTATACGGTAAACAGATCCCCTATCGACGTGGGTCCTTCGCCTGACATATCGGTGCTGCGAACACTGACAATTCAAAAAGGAAATGATCTTTTTTATAAGGCTGAACTTGATTTTTTAATACCTAAGTTTAATTTTTAATTGTAACCAGTGATTACATTGGCTTTTTTGGTGAACTAAAAAGCTAATAACGTACAATTTTCGAAGTCGATCAAAGTTTTTAATAATTATTATTATTATTGTCTAGCTGGTGAATAATAAAACTACAATGATTTTATTTCTTGGTTTCATTTATTATCTATTACCTCTTCAATATGTAAAGTTGCAGGTATTTTATGTAATCTACCTACCGTACGTGTACAGTACCGCAATGAGGTTGATGACTATGATTTTTTTTTGGGTCTCGATGGATCGATGGGCTGACAGCACCACCAGGCACCACCCTCTGATTTTGAAATACATTATTAATATCTTTAATATAAAATGCTTAAAAAATCACCAGCCCGGGTACCGGGTCTGGGAGACGGGATCTGGTGGATTTTAAGCATCCTCTAGTCCCCTTACCAGTCATTAAGAAATATGAACTGATAATCGAGTTCTGTAATTTGAGTAAACTAATCTAGCTGGAATGATATCCAAGAAACTTTCCAATTCATATTTTAATCCCTTTGATCTATCCAAGCAATCAAGCGTACCTGTGATAACTTTTTTTACTACGACGGTGTATGTCTCTTCGTATTTAAATGTATTCTTGATTCATTCAGTCCCCTTATCAGTCTGTTGTGAAATAGACACGAATTGTAGTTTCGGATATAAACCAATCTTTAAGTAATTCGCAGATTCCGTGTTATTTCTTTATTAATCTAAAATAAATACGAGGGTGAAACTGAAAGTTCTTAGAAAATCAAAAACTGATTACATTAGCCAGTTATTAGTTTTATTATATCTTTTCAAAATATTGTCCATTCACGTCAATACACCGCTGCATGCGATGGAACCACTGGGAAAAACACTTTGCCCACTCGTCCTTAGGGGTCTCTTGAATGGCATCGCGATACGCAGCCACCGCTTCTTCAGCATTCATAATCCGCTTTCATTTAAGTTTTTCTTTAATTTTTGGAAATAAATAAAAATCACAAGGCGCGAGGTCGGGGCTATACGGCGGGTGACCCAGTAATTCAACGTTTGATGTCGCCAAATAGTCGATCGTTCGCTTGGCGGTGTGCGACGAGGCGTTGTCGTGGTGAAGGAGGATCCTACTGCGAGGTCGTTTCTCTCGAACTTTTTCCAAGACAAGTGGCAAACAATTGGTAGTGTACCATTCTGCAGAAACTGTTTTTTGATCCTCTAACACAATTGTTGCAAAATGACCTATCCTTCCAAAGAACGAGGCCACCATTTTTTTTCCCGCACTTCGATCTCTCTTCACTTTAGTTGGCAACTCCTCGAAAGGAAACACCCACTGAGCAGATTGTCTTTTGGTTTTAGGATCATAACAGTAAATCCAGCTTTCGTCACCTGTTAGTATGTCGAACACAGCATTTGAGTCACCTCCGTTAAATCTTTCAATCATTTTACGACACCAATCCACACGATGGAGTTTTTGAGCCTCAGTCAAATTATGAGGTATCCACCGGGCGCAAAGCTTCCTGACCGCTAAATGTTCGTGGAGGATTTTGTGCACTTGACTCATACCGATGCCTAAGCTTGTCCGAATCTGTTGATAGGTCACTCTTTTGTCAGTCTCTATCATACGCCGCACAACACAGATGTTATCTTCAGTCGTCGCCGTAGAAGGCCGTCCCTCACGTAAATCATCAGTGAGATTAGTGCGACCACGTTTAAACTCATTAAACCAGTTGTAAACAGTCGCACGAGATGGGGCTTCATCGTGAAAGGCCAATCGTAGTCTATCATAACTTTCTTGTTGACTTAAATGACATCGAAAGTCATAAAAAATCATTGCACGAAAATTTTCTCGTGTTAAATTCATGATGACGTGACAGACAATTTTCAATTTGCCGCCAAATCGTAAAACAAATGACAAATGAATGAAATATATACTCAGTAATATTGGCAAAGAGTTATATTTTCAAATTTTAGAATTATTTTTTTATTATATTGTTTATAAGTGGCCAGTTCTAAGAACTTTCAGTTTGACCCTCGTATGTCCCAAACTCATAAACGAGGAACCAAAAGATGACATTGAAAGTTTTTTGAAATTTATTATAAGTACCGATACAGATCAAGCTGTGGCGCTGCCAGGATGACGACAGCCCAGCAGCACCAGTCTCTTATCTCTGATACTGGAACTGCTATTTGTCCCTATTTCTTAACGGACGTATAAATAAGAGACTAGATGGATTAAGAATTCATTTCAAAATCAAAGAGGGTGGCGTTTCCAACCTGACACTAATAGTTTTACAGCCAGTTGCACAAACGTCCATTAAAAGTATCATTAGTTTAAAGCGACATTACCAATACAAATTTGACATTCATTAGAGCTTAAATGCGTCATTAAATCTTAATAGACGTTTGTGCAATTGACCATTAATCTTTCATTTTATGAATTATCTCACCATAATATTTTTTTTTAACATCAGGAAATGCATTACTGCATACCCGTGCTTCCAAGCGCGGAGTCGGCGGGTTATGGGTGGGTCTCCCATGCAGACCCGTCTCCCGTAGGGAGGGCTAGTTGAAAAATAGGGGCATACCCACTAAAACCTAACTATATATCTCTCCATGAAGCCCGAAGACTACTTCCGTTCGCCTCCATTTCGGTATATTATACTTTGATTTCAGTTCACCCCTTGCAGGGCGGGGTCCTCTGCGGGTTGGGGGTATGCGAATAGGTATAATAGATGCTACCGAGTATTCGTTACAAGTCAACTGTGTTATTTAATTTAATCTGAGTGCATACCTATCGTCGTTACGTTCTGTAACAGAATTCAATACACGTAAATATAACGTCACATTATCACTTAATTAGCTGTTTATCACTACTATGTCACAGACGGACGGATGAAAAAAAGATAAATACTTAAATGATGACTTATAAAGATACAGATTTGTAAATGTAGCGCTGCTAATATTTAATTTATCTTCGCGTAGCTGAGATAGATACTTAAGTATTTGATTACACACCTACCAAAATACTTATATGAATATTAGACAACATCTCCATTTCTCAGATTCCAAGATTTGAGTAGCTGCTTAATACGGGGGGTATTATGTTGTATCTGAGATAACGAAGGTACGGAAGGAAAAGTTTATTTTCTACAACACGGGACCTCAAAGATGGCGACAACTTTAAACCGGCGTGCTAACTACGTGGCTACAAAGATCGTCTAGAACAGGGGTTTGATTTAGAATGTGCTTACCTAGTTTGAATAAAAAAAATATACATACCTACTGAAATATTTAATAGTCTTATGATTAACACTCGTTTATCAAGGCTCGCGTTACTCATGAAATTGCCCATTAATAGTATAAAGCGCATCTTATATCTCAAAAACTGTTTTTTTTTGTGATATATTTTAGTGGGATAAAAAGTAGCCTATTACTTTTTATCCCACTAAATATAATAATCCAGGCTTGGAATTATTCATGTTCCAAATCTCACCAATATCCGTTCAGTACTTAAAGATTAACGAGTAACAGTAACGTAAAGAGTAACAGGCATGCGAGTAGGACGTGTTTGTGTGGCGTTACTATGTCATGCTAATAATGAATATAAAAAACATTATTTTTAGCATGACTTTAGCGACTTTAGGCATTGATCACTATCGACTGTCTAATAAGTCCCAGCAGACCAACGACTTATGGATAAAATGTCAAATTGGGCAGTTTTTGTTTGTAATTACTATTAGCACAGTGGTTTGGCTGTAGTTCTGCAATATTGACGCCAGTAGAGCTGCACCACGATACGAAGCCTTATTTATTTCTGATCTTAAAGTCGTCTCTATTTCGTCACGGACAAAGAAAATAGGGACTTAAATGGACTAAGAATTCATTAATATGTAATGCTGGCGCTGTCGTATTTTTCTTGGTAGATAATAAATAAAAGGGATATATATCATTGAAACTTTTTAATCTTCCATCATCCCTATCCCTAAAAATACCAAAAATAAAAAAACTAACACACAAAATACTTTACAGAAATAGCGGTGACAGGGTACACTCGATCCTCATGGTAGACACGAGTTTACAGAGATCACAAAAAAATCTTAAAGCTTAGTTTTATAAAAAACCTAAAAAAATTATAATACTAAAAGTTGAACGTAAATTTACCTTTCCTATCAGTCGATATCAGTTATTACATTCAGTAAGGAAGTTTAATAGACAAAAATATTCCACGTATTTCAGTAGCAAAATATTAAATTTGATTAATAGATATTTCGAAAATCATGATTAAGAAACAAAAGAGATTAAGTGTCCCCATAACGTGTACATGAATAAGATGAAGAAATATAAAATTCTAACCTACACTATCATTAATTCCAAACTGGCATACTTTTATGTGATCTGAAATAATATCAACAGTATCATCGTTTATCCTACCGGCATCTCTTAATATTTTTATTAAATTAGTCATTGTGAACAAAGCTTTAAGTTCCACGCCATTTGCTTTTAGTATACTAGCGCCACCTTGTTCTCTATCGAGAACTACGAGGGCGTGTGTTACAACTAAATTTTCCGCACGTAAAGCATCAACAGTTTCCAATACACTGCCGCCAGATGTCACTACGTCTTCTATAATAAGACATTTTTGATTTTTCTGAAATACTCCTTCGAGTATTTTTTTAGTGGCGTACAATTTTGTTTCCTTTCTTTTCATAAGCATGGGAGTGTTGGTGTTGACTGACATGACTGCTGCGAACGGCATGGCGGCATACGGCACCCCACACAAAATGTCGTGGTGTATTTTGGAAGCCAACTTCTGTAAATGTTTCACCACCGCTAACTGAAAAGAAACTTGTTTATTTAATGTTTTTGAAAGAAAACGATATCTGTTAATATTATTCAGTAGCAAGGTCTATATATATACCTCTAAAAACTTACTTCAAAGAATTTAAAAAAGTGGAAACTAATTGTGTAAGTAGGTACTTAAATTAAGGAAAATATATTCAAGACATTTCTATAAAAATCAATGTTAATAAATCTATACAAAAAATCTTTATTTGGGTTTCCTTTCGTGCCTGAAGCTGTATTCGTTTTTCCTAACGAATTAGGAATAGGAACAGAATCTTTAATACCCTGAATCTCCGCTAGTAGCCCAAGAGCTGGCTGCAAAAATGTTTTTGGGAGTAAATACTAGTTATATAAATAAATACAAATATCATTGGTCTGGCTGATATTTGCAGTAAAAAAAAGGTTAACTGCACGGATAATACTCCGGGGATGACCTATACATGTATATAAGGACTTGGGGTAATTAAAACGCTCGTTGCAATAAGACCCACCTTTGAAATTTTCAGCTAATCAACTTTACTTTACTCGCAAACGCATAACACCAATAGATACCTACGTCATGTAAATAAAGTTGGAACAATAATAGAAGTATAAAAATTCTGGACATATTGCGGCCAGGCAACCAATGATTTTCGTTATTATTTATATAAATACCAAATTTTAAAAACATTTAGTGCTGTTACTCGATAGGCCCAAATTTTTGTAGTCAGGTCTTGTTCTAAGTAGTTCTGAAACTTATTTAACGATAAAACCCTTTTGACAATCAAATAGTTACGCGGTGCTGTTAAATCTATAAAAAGAAAAACTCGTTTGATCTATTTTAGACACGCATATATGTATTTTTCCTTAATTCCGATCGCACTCAATCCAAATGCTGATCTGTTACGAATATTAGTTAAAACAATATTATTGAATTCTTTGGTATAGATACATTGTAGACTTATTTTAAAAATTAGTTTAATAATATTTGTGGACAAAAAGATGACCCACTTATATTTTTGTAATATTTATTTTCTTAATTTAATTTTTTTCCTATGTATTGCTAAATAAACAGTTGGTTTATGTGAAAAATGAATTTTTTTAATTTAAAAATTAACACACTATCCATAAAAAAACGTTAAAATGTTTTTGTGTTGAAACATAGTCTCCAGTAGTTTCGGTACCTATTAAATACAAATAAAATAATATTCATAATAGGTTTGTTTATGACGCATAAATGACGTTTTTAATGAAGTCATTTATGTAAAATTTTATTTATTCTGCATCCTTGACTTGCCAAGGTAAATTGAATTTATATTTAGTTCTTTTAAAAGTAGGTACATAATTAACATATTATATCTATTGAATCAACAATATTCATATATACTCTTCCTAATATTGTGTAATAGCTATGTAAATAATTAAATTATAGATAATATATAAATAAGTACCATAAGCGGAAACTTTTACTCTGATATCTGTCTGTCGCTGTGTATTTGTTCGAAAGTACCTTACAAATTAAACAAAAAAAATGGATACACATTTTTTTTTAACTCGAGTTAAAAAAATCGAGTTAGTGAAATTTGTTTTTTGCAAAGATATGAAATGGAACATAGCCTCTAATGCAACTCTGGCTGGCATTTCTTGTAATATTGCTGGGTTACTGTTTTGCAGTATAAAATATATACCAAAAACATGTAGGTATATATTATTTTATTATTACGTCAAGCTGAGTTTACCATAATTCTAGGGTGCGACACCACGACCCTCAGGTCGAAGTAGACAGGCGTCCTGCGACCCAGTTTAGCTTCAATGTCTCCCAAACGTACTGCGCCCGCGTCGTATAGTTGCACTGCCAACTGCTCTAAGGTGCACATCTGTGAAAATCAATTGAGTCCACCATTATGAGCTTATTAAATGTTGGGACGCAGACATTCCCTACGAATGCAATCGATATTTCGTTTCATAGTAAATCATCAAATCTATTGGCAGAGACGGCCTGTACATACAGGCAAACTAGGCACCTGTTGTCTAGGACGCTCGTACACCTATGTAAATTTTAACGTTAAAAATGCAGTATATTAAATTGACTTATATTCTTTGAACTCGTGTCCGTGACAGCGGTTTTAGAAATTACAAAATTTTCAGAGCAGCAGTACACAAGTTCCTTTTGTCATTGGCAAAATTGCTTCTTTTATTAGTTTTTATTTTATTGTGATTTTTTTATGAGCATCATTTCAGTGTCATCATTTCTTGGTCGCTAAATACCAGTGTTTTGTCTAGGGCGCCAAGTAACAATGTTTTATCTAGGGCGCCAAGTTCTAATGTTTTGCTTAGGGAGCCGAGTTCCAGTGTTTGCCTAGGCTGCCAAGTTCCAATGTTTTACCTAGTGTGCCAACATGAAGTAGACGCCAAGTTCCATTGTTTTGCCTAGGCATGACTACAGAATTAGGTGGTCGCACCTCTTCTCCAAAACAGTAGAATAAGAATTATAAGATTTTTTTTTGTTATTGTCAATGAAAACTAAAATTAAACGAAACTTTCTAGTACGAGTATTTTAAAAGCTGGCTGATAAGAAGAACGGCCAAGAAACTCACCAGCTTTAATAGGAGTTATGACATTCACATAAACCATGTCGATAAAGTACATATCATAGTAATAAAATGAAAAGAAATAGCGCTATAACCCTAGATTGTGATTATACCTTAGCTAATATTTTCCGCTATATTATACTACTCTTTGGCTAATACGTTGTATTCTAGAGTTTTAGCTAGAGAAGTTAGGTAGTCGCTTTGCTGGATTTGTTGACAATTTACAAATTTTCCTCTTATGAATGTTAAAGGAATAGTTTAAGAATTTCATGTTGGGTATTATATGCCAAGTCCGTTTTTTACTGTGCCGAATAAAATAACTCAATTGTTGTTTCACTTTCACATATCAATTAATAGAACTCTCGTTATATTCTTATCACATAAAAGGACCTACTGTTTTTAACAATTGAAGTGCTAAAAATCCGTCATTGAATAATTAAATAATGAAATGCAACGACTAAGTACCCACCTTCCAAATTTCATACCACTCTAATCGAAACAAATCACTTTATAAAAACTTCCGAAGATCTTCAAAACACAGAGTTAAGTAAACACAAATAAGGATTTATCTTCGAGAAATCTTGCAGTGTAGCGGCCGCCACCGTATCAAATGTCAAATGAGTCAGATTATAAACATTGTCAATATATTTATAATAAACTAATATTAAGATTAATTACCGGTTTTGAGTTACACTTATGTAAAGATAATCTTGAAATAATAATTGTGTAAGTTTTGTTATACCTGTTTTTGACACTAGAATTAATACTTAACAGTTAAGTTAATGACATATCACTGCCTTTTCAATGAATTACAGTTAGTCATTGAAGTGTCTACCTAAAGTCCAATAATATTAGTGCATGTTCTTCTTCGTGAATCAACGAGTTACGTACGAGTATGTTTATTTTGTAATACACAATTAATTAATTAAACTATAGCTAATATCAGCAGAATTAAGGCCCAGTTACAAATATCTATAGACTAACAGCTCAAGTTCTTACTATTTTTCTTACTTAAAGACTAGCCGCCCAATTGGACTGCTGATTAAACCACTTGGCTGCGACATATACTACATAGTATAGAACAAAGTTTATACATTTTCCTCAATAAAAGAGTGATTCAAGAGTAAAGTTTATAGTCTAAGAGATCTTGACAAAAGTGTGCAAGAGCTTTCTAAAGCTTGATATTTTAGTATGAAGAAATACTAAGTAAGGGGCTGGAATACCTGTTGACGGCGGGGCAATGTTAAGTTCGTAAAATTTTAATACAAATATAAAATTAATACAAATAAATTTTAAAACAAATAGCGAAAAAAATTTTCTTAATATAAAACAGTAGACTAAATTTTTTAATTGTTTTGTGAATGTATCTTTGCAATGCTTGAACTAATTCAATTCGGTAAAATTTTATAATGCTAAAGTTACTTTAAACAAAGAAATGAACTAAAATTGTAACAATATATCTATGAAATAATTTAAACTATTACTAAAACACATATTTATTCTCATTTTTCTAATACTCTCTTTTAATTTATTCAATGGGTAATTTATTTGTGCATCTAATGTAAACTACATGAATGGAATAATATCGATAGAAGACGAAACCGGTCGTCTGTGATTGATCATATAAGTATATCACATTTCATGTCGTCTTAAATACATCGTTGATCTAATGAATACGACTCGAAGCATTGTTTATGATATAAGTTTAAATAACCTTCAAAATGGTTTAAATTGTGTTCCTGAAAATATTCCGTTTATTTTAAATTAAATCATTAATGTCGACACTTTACTGACGGCAGGTCACCCGAAGGCAAGTCAAAACACAGGTGGCCATACCTACTGAACTCCTGGTACCCTCTTTTACAGGTAGTTCACGGCTATTCTTATGATAGCGAAGACCTGGGTGCACCGAATCCTTCTCCCAGACAGCCAGAGTCGTGAAATGATCACGTGGTTGTCAATGAATAGTTGTCAATTAGCGTAGAAGAGCGTATCTATCATGTGCTATTGGGCTATCTCTTATCATCTATTCCACCGCGTCTGCAGCGTCGACTTTCGCCGAAGGTAAAGCCTACTACTGCCAACTGCAAACTAGGCAATTTCCTAGGGCGCTTGTATTGTACGGCGGCATGACATGGCAAACAGGGGGCCAATTCTACTAAATGAATTTTGTTTAAATCGAATCGAAAATGGATGGAAACTGAACGAAACTATAGTTTTTATGGTTTTCCTATTCTACAAAGTGACATACGATACAATTCCAGTTCTATTTTAGCTGGAATACATACGTTTCGATCCGTTTTCGATTGGATTTAAACAAAATTTATTTAGTAGAATTGGCCCCCAGATTATGTTTATTTAAAAATGCAGAACCTTTTTTTTGTAACATGAGCCCGCGGTATTTAAAAGTACAACATTTTCGGACCAGCGTGAAAGAAGTTTCTGAAGTCATTGAGCAAAATTACACTTTTTTTATCAGTGTTACCTACATTCGTGTTTTTTTCAGATTTTTTATGAACGTCGTTTCAGTGTTTTGTCTAGTGCGCCGAGTTCCAGTGTTTTGGCTAGAGCGCCATGCTCCAGTGTTATGTCTAGAACGCCAAGTTCCAGTGTTTTGCCTAGGGCGCAAAGTTCTATTTTGCCGGCGTTGCTCACCAGCCTAGCAAACCGGCGACATCTTTAAAACCCACATCCTCATCTGGAACCTCTTAGCACCATAAGAGCCATAATAATTTAACTCAAACTTTCTAACAGCCGCTTCACATCAAATCCTAACTCTTGAATCACTCTGTATATTGATGAAAACTGCATTGAAATCCATTGTGTAGTGTAAAAGGTCTCAGCGTACAGACAGCGGGAAGCGAATTTGTTTTACATTTGTTTTAGATCTGATTTTAATGAGAGGCTGCGAAATTTTTTTTTTGAGAAAATTTTCATTCGTGGACAAAAAGTAGGTCCTCTGCGTTTGCCCCTATTTATTTTAGGGCTCTATAAAAGCATATTTAGTTCTCCATCACTAAAAAGTTTGAAGGCCGCTGCTGATCTTAAGCATTTATAAACCGCGAAGGTTTATGTCAATCTAAAGAGATATCCTCACAAAGGATATTCCAATAACATTTCTACTACTCAAATAAGGACCGGGACTTTTAAATAGCTCTCTTTGTAAGTTGTATCCCGCCGTTGGTCAAAAGAGCAAAAGAAAAACACATCTTCAATTCCACTCTTGAATATCAACTCCTCGCATCCGGAATAAAGTTCATTTTCGTGTTTCTTGTGTGTGAAATGTATATATGGCTTGACAAGTAGGAATCCGAGTCGGCGATCGCTATTTTTGTACGAATGACAAGATTGGGTATGTTACAGGCCAAATGTTTTCAATTTAGAAAGTTAAACAAAAGGATATAGCATAGGAAACAGTAAAGTTGTTTTTTTACTGACTTTAGTTAGAGGTTTTAAATGTGATTGTCAGTTAGTTTATCGTGTTTTAGGATTCCATAACTCTATTTATCTATAGGTATAACTATAAAAGGAAATGATCTGACATACTGACTGACGGACAGCGTACAGCCTAAACCGCTCGTCGTAGAGACTTGAAATTTGGAGGGTACATTCCTCTTATTACATAGAGGTGTACTAAAAACAGATTTTTGGAAATTTCACCCCGAAGGGTTGCCGAAGGCGGTCAAAAAAGGTAAGAAAGTTTGTATTGTTTTGGACTTATATCGATGAAATTTGGTATTTGGGTAGTTTAAGACTGTAGGAAGGCAATAAAATATTATATCCCGTAAACTATCACTGTAAGGGATCAAAATGGGAGTGAGTTTTTATGGGTTTATACTAGGGTAATAAATCTATCGAATATTATTTTTAAAGATTTCCTTATAGTATTGTGATAAAAATGTTGGTATTCGAGTACACAATTGATAGCATTTTAAATAAATATTTTTAGAAATATTCAAGTACCTACAAATCATTTTATATAAGAAAGAAAACACAAACTATATATTTTGTAATCTAGATGGCGTTAAGCACTTTGATCAAGGTTGTGTTCTTAAATAAAATTTAGTAAGAACTTAAGGCTTTGGTATACTAATGAGCCGCATGGAGGCACAGGGGATAAGCGCCAACTTTCGCAAAGAAAATACTTTTGGAATGGGTGACCAAAAAACCGGATGGCTGTTGGTCCCGGCTGCATTTGGGTCAGCATGGAGAGTCATCACCCATCCTCCTTAACCAATCCATAAGGAAGGCCTGAGCCCTTGCAGTGGCGCAAAAGGGCTGATGATGGTGATACTACATGGCGTTTGTTTTTAACTAAACAGCGTAATAGTTTATTTTTCAACAAAATTTTGCGTACATATCAGTTTTCGATTAAGTTTTCTGTGGACATTAGATTTGTGTTTTTCTTTCCATCTGTATTTCAAATCGGATAAATCGCTTATGTATTCCATCCTAAAATTACACATGTGAAAGTAAGTCTTTGTATATGTCAGTCAGTTACATTCTCACGTCTAATTCAATAAACGGAGTTGTCTTGAGATAGGACATAGTTTACTTTTTATTGCGATAAAAGGTTTAAAATAAGGAATTAAGTTTATACGAAAGTTTCTCATTGTCTAAGATAAAATAATGAAACCTTATTTCAGGTATTTTGCACGATTTTAATTAGGAATCACAAAGAATAATGATCATGGACTTGACAGCAGTATTACCAACTTAGTAATTTTGCTCAAATTTCTCCACCAAAAGACATGTCAAAGTAGTATAATGAAACGAAAGGTCACCATAATATTCTCTAAGATGTCGCATCCTAAGGTTAAAGTTATGGCTAGGTATTCTGATTATGGTAAGAGACTGAGGTGATCGCATTCCAGGAATCGCTGGTTTAGATAACTTTGTCAAGTATAATAACTTTGTCAACTTGATCAAACACGTTCAAGAGGTCTTACTGACAAAGTGGTCGTAAGACCTTTTTTGTCAGTAATACGTGGATAATCCATTCGAGATTGTCTCTGAGCTTAGTAACTCATCAAGAAAAAGAGAACTTTTAAAAAGGTCATATTACGTCTATTGGTTCACAGAACATTATGTGTTCGTGTGTTGTTTTATCTTTCAAGCAAAACCAGTCCGTGAGCAAGACCTTTTTTGGTAGTAACGCTTCTATCCGACTTAAAAATCTAAAAGCAGGAGATTATGTTCGACGGCGATGTTAGGTTTTTTAATGGTGTTATCGATTTAGTTATAAAAAAATAAAGAAATGTTAATGTTATTACTTGTAATAATTGTGACGACTTTTCACAAGGATAATTTGGGTGAAATTGTAAATCCAGAAATATAAGTAAATAAAGAACGATTGATTTTATTGTTTTTTTTCTTTGCATTGAATAGGCATAGGGCCGATTATAAAATAAGTTTTTATTTAAACACTCTAAAAAGAAGAAAACGAAATTTTCCTTTTTTTAGCTACTACTTATACCTAACCTCATTATAACAATTTATATGATCGTTAAAGCTTGTCGCGTGATTTACTTGTGTAAATTAACTAGTACCAATTCAGTTATGTATAATCTGTGAAATTTATTTTTTTAAATTTCAATTTTATTTAATATTGATTTAATAATGAAATGAGGTTATAAGTATT